AGTTTTTGTTGTGGGGTGTATTAATTTTTGCATCAACTAATTTGAGCAAAACTGAAGATTTTGTAATCTAAGTTATATTTATTTAACCTTACCTTAATAGCATTTGTATTGCAGACATAATAATGCTCAGATATATATATTATCTCTATATTGGTCATTGGTAAAACTATTTTAATACAAAATACTACTTCTTTCTGCAAAACTAAAAGTGCTTAGGATTCATTCCCTGCCATCAGAAATGAATTTTTTTCAGTGACAAAACTAGCTCTTTGTAGCGGGTTAATGGGGAATGGTTTCCCTTGTATAAACTAAAATCTTTATGGGCCATGTGTATATATAGTCAGTCACAGTGTACAGTGAGTGGTTTGTACGGCTCCTTGAGGGTTTTTGTTTAACCACTTGCCCTCCTGAGGATTTACCCCATTCATAACCAGGCTATTTTTTCGTTACTTTAACTGACAATTGCGTAGTCATGCAACGCTGCACCCAAATGAAATTTACATCCTTTTTTCCCACGAATTGAGCTTTCTTTCAGTGGTATTTGATCGCCTGTGCGGTTTTAATTTTTTGTACTATAAACAAAAAAAAGATCGACAATTTTGAGAAAAAAAAAATATTTTTTTTACTTTTTGCTATTAAACATGTCCAGTAAAAAAAATGAAAAAAAAATCAAATGTTGTCATAAATTTATGCGAAAATGTATTCTGCGACATGTCTTTGCTAAAAAAAAAATCCTAACATGTGTAAATGAATAGGTTTCCGTGAAAGTTTTAGCGTTTACAAATGGCGGTATAGATAATGGGATTTTTTTTTTCTTCTACTAGTAAAGGAGGCAGTCAGCAACTTTTAGCGGGACTGCGATGGACATTCTGACACTGGGGGGGGGGGGGGGGGAAACTAACTTGGTGTTACTGACACCCCAGTGACACCAATACTGCAATCGCGCTTTAAAAAAAAAAAAAAAAAAAAAAAAAAAAAAAAAGACACTGTACTAATGACACTGGGAAGGAAGGGCTTAATGTAAGGGGTGATCAAAGGGTTAACTGTGTCCTGGGAGTGTTTCACTAGGGGGTGGGGGGTGTGTTCTTCACTGAAAGCACACTGATCGGGACGGCTGTACTGTGCACAGCCATCCCGAGCAGTGTGCTCAAGCTGACAGGGAGAAAATGGTTTGTAAAGAAAACAAATTCCTCCATGTGGGAGATGGTCGGTAATTGCCAGGCGCCGGTGTGTAATTACCGGCCAGGACCCGGTGATTGACATCTGCGGCCGCGAATGGGGGCGCAGGTAGGGCGTGCGCACCCCCTACTCGTTAATGCAAAATCATGTATATACGTGATTCTGCACACAGGTGCCGCCCTGTAGCAGTATAACTGCTAAATGGCAGTCCTTAACCACTTGACCTCCAGAGGATTTACCCCCCTTAATGACCAGGCCTATTTTTGTTACTCGGCGCTACACTAATTCAACTGATAATTGCGCGGTCATACAATGCTGCACCCAAACGAAATTTACGTCCTTTTTTTCACACAAATAGAGCTTTCTTTCAGTGGTATTTGATCACCTGTGCGCTTTTTATTTTTCACGCTATAAACAAAAAAAGGCCAAAAACTTTGAAGAAAAACGATATTTTTTACTTTCAGCTATAAAAAAAAAAAAAAAAGCTATAACTCAAAGTTAGTTATAAATTTAGGCCAAAATATATTCTGCTCCATGTTTTTGGTAAAAAAAAATCCCAATAAGTGTATATTGATTGCTTTGTGTGAAAGTTATAGTGTCTACAAACTATGGTATAGATACTGCAATTTACACCATTTTTTTGCTATATAGCGCTGCACTAGTTTAACGGACAATTGCGCGTACGGTACATAAATGAAATTTACATCCTTTTTTTCCCCACAAATTGAGCTTTCTTTCGGTGGTATTTGATCGTCTGTGCGGTTTTTATTTTTTGCGCTATAAAAAAAGGCTGACCATTTTGAGAAAAAAAAAAAACAACATTTTGGACTTTTTGCTATAAAACATGTCCAGTAAAAAAAAATTTAAAAATCAAATTTAGTCATAAATTTCTGCAAAAATGCATTCTGCGACATGTCTTTGCTAAAAAAATACGTGTAAATTAATTGGTTTACGTTAAAGTTATAGCATTTACAAATGGCGGGAAAGATACTGGGATTTTTAGTTTTTTTTTATACTAATAATGGCGGCGATCAGCGACTTATGGCGGTGATCAGCGACTTATGGCGGGACTGCGGCGGACATTCTGACATTGGGGGGTACTGACTTGGGGTCACTGACATCCCAAGTGACACCAATACAGTGATCAGTGCAAAAAAAACAAAAAAAAAAAACACTGACACTGTACTAATGGCACTGGGGAGGAAGGGGTTAAGTTTATTATTCAGGGAAAGGGTTAACTGTGTGAGAGGAGTGTTTTACTAGGGGGCGGGGTTGTGTACTGCAGGGAACACTGCTGATTGGGAGAGAGAAACTCTTCTGTCCCGATCAGCGTGTCCTGGAGCTGTCAGGGAACTGACAGAAAGCACAGCTACTACAGCTGTGCTCTCTGTCAGTGATTGCCGCCGATTGCCGGGACATAGCTGGTAACGACTGGCTGTGATCCGGCGACTGACATCCATGGCTGTGATCGGCGGGACAGGTAGGGCGGCGGAGCGCCTCGCGCGTGCCCCCTGTTTTAAAAACACACGTTTTAAAACGTGGGTTTTGCCCAGCCATGGCGCCCTGCCGCCGTATTTCTACAGCGGCTGGGCGGCATGTGGTTAAGCGATTCAGTTAACCTCCCTGGCAGTATTCCCGAGTGTAGCTCGGGGTAAAATTTCAGTACCACAAGCGGTAACCCCGAGCTACACTCGGGCTTACCATGCGGCGTTCCTCAGGGATTCCCTGCAGCGCTTACCTTGTCCTTCGCTCCCGCGATGAGTCCCCTGCAGCGTCCCCGGCCATCTCCTCCGGCCGATGCCGGCATCCGGCTTCCGTGTTCCTGTCCCTGTGACGTACGGGCGCCGGAACCAGCGGCAAATTTGAAAGTTTTAAAAAAATTTCTTTTTTTTTTTTAACAATATTACATAGCAAAACATTGCTGTTTCAAAGCATTTCACATACATTTTGTCCCTACTACTTTGTCCTGTGCCCTGCCTGCATTTGGACTGTTTTCTGCCTGGAAACTGGAAAAAGTCCATGGCATCCAAAAAGCGTGCTAATGATTTGTGGGGAAATTCGTCAGACACTGAAAACGATTCTGCGACTTTGCTCAGCGATGTGCTAACTTGGCGCTCTATTTCAAATTTCAGTGTTTTTGGTTTGATTATATTACGGAATTACATTTATTATTATATTATTTTTTATGATTATTTATTAAATTATAATTTATGATTTCGTGTTTCAAGTTTTATCATATCCGGAATGTTTACTAGACTCTTGTTCGGACAGATTTCAGTGAGTTATTCCTAAAAATGACAGGCCTACAATAAAAAAACTACAAATTTCCATGCAAAATAATGGTACCGCTTTCAGCACCAAAAATCTGAAATAATCATACCGCCAGGGAGGTTAAATAAGTGTGGGCAGTCAGGATTTATATTGAACTACGAATATTTCTTCTTTTTTTCATTCAGTCATCTGCATTTTCCTGAACAGTGACATGTGATGCTCATCTCCAAGAGATAGAAAGTCAATGTCAGACTGATCAGTAACTATAACTAACTTAGTAAGCCATTTATTGCACGTCATCTTTTGACACTTGTAATATATTTTACTTGTAACACTTCTTGTCCTCCAGGCTCCCATCTTTATAAGACATGTCTAATGGGCATCTCAAGTGTTTATGATCCTCTATTCTGACATTAAAAAAAAAAAAAAAAAAAACTTTCCATTAAAACCCAGCTAAATGAAATCTCTAAAAATGTGGTGATCCTAAAGAATGATCCACTCTGCAAGCTGCACCCCTGTGAGTTTAGACTAGAAAACTTTGCTAAAGATTTCCTCACAGTACTACAACTTTACTGGAAAACCGTAAATTAATGCAATCCAGAGAAACTTATCATGCATAACACTTAATATTTAAGATGTCAACAGAAAAGTAACTCCTGAAATTTGAATGGGTGCTGCTGCTTGTTCCTAGTCTTACTTTTATAAAACAAAAAAAAAAAAAAACAAAAAGAATCCATAGCAGATGACTGGGAAGTTGACAAACACCTACTGATACAATTTAAAGTGATTGTACAAGCCTTAAGGTTTTTTAATTTAATGCATTCCCTGCATTAAGGTAAAAAAAACCTTCCAATACCTGTTCCTTTCTCTCCCTCCCTAAATACTTACCTGTCACCTCTCTCGATTCAACGGTGTGCTCAGCTGCATCTTCTCTCTCCTCTCACAGTGGCTACACAGACTAGTGGGAGCCATTGGCTCCTATTGCTGTCAGTCATATCCAGTGAGGAGGGAGCAGGGGCAGGGCTGAGCTGTGTGTATCTATGGACACACACAATAGAGAGTTAATTGGTGCTGCGCTAATTCTAAGTATGATATAAATACATTATATATACCTTTATAAGGTATTTATATCATACTTAGAATTAGCGCAGCACCAATTAACTCTATTCAGTATTCCCATTTGGTATATGATAAGGTGTTAGCAGCTTTTATAATATAGATTAGGAGGCCTAGAGCGCGGGAGGACTATATAGATATATGGACGCACACAGTCCAACTTGGGAGCATGACCGCACCTGTCACCCCCCATAGTAAGCGGCTTGCTATGGTGTTGCAGGCAGAAGAGGAGGAGCAAAGATCGCCAGTGGGGGACCCCATAAGAGGAGGTTCAGTGCCAAAGCTGGTAAGTATAACATCTTATTTAATTTTAGAGAAAAAAAAAAAAAAAAAAAAAAAAAGATTATTGCTTTAATTCTACAGATATAAAAGTCAGTGTTTATGCGTTACTTTTTACCCACTTTTCAACAAACCAGAAGAAATTCTTAAATTACCTGAGTTTCCACTAACATGGCAATGTCCATAAACATGTCATGTAACTCCCGTATGCTAGATTCCAGCTTCATGATATCCTTGTGCCGTGATTCAATCTCATTTAGAGCCTGCCTTGTAATCTGGGAATCTGAAATGATCTATGGAAAAAAAAAAAGGTACATTTATAGCAATCAATAAATGCTCTCCATAGAAGTGAGAATTTGGATGCACTGAAATATAAAAGTAATGAGGTGAAAAAAGGCAGGGAGGATACACAAGGCTTCTTAATAGAAAAGGGCTGACCATGTGAAATGTGGGGTGACTTTTTTCACTCTAATCATTCTGCAGTTAGGATAAATTATTTATAGTCTGTTTCTCCTCTATCCATTCATACATTTTTTTAAAAAAATTTTTTTTACTTACATCCGAAGTGAAAATTGCTGGGTTTCCAGTCTCCAGCATCTCTTCCAGTTCTTCATCTGTAGTACTTTTTCCAGCTGAAACAAAGCAATAACGTCATTTGTGTGCTTGCCCACAGAAAGACATTAAAGACTCTGTTCTTCACACTTTCCAGTTAAAAAAGAAAAAAAAAAGTGTCTGAAAATGGTCTTATTCATTAATATTTCAACAGGAAAAACATGGGACAGTCCATTTTCTTTTCTGCAGTTGTGTAGTCTGATGCACAATTAACATTAGATCGATGAGCAAAGGGCATGTGGGCATTTTAATAGACGGTTGCAAAAATGAATATGTTGTAATCACAAAAGTGTAATGTATTGCAGCTTACCAATCCTTAAGTGGAACTAAACTTCCATTGTACACTGCAAGCACACAGGTTGTTTTTATTGCTGAAGAGACATATAGGGGTTAATTTACTAAAACTGGAGACTGCAAAATATGGTGCAGCTGTGCATGGTAACCAATCAGCTTCTAACTCCAGCCTGTCCAACAAAGCTTTGAAAATATAGAAAAACTGTAAGCTAATTCAATTAAGCTTTGACAATAAAAATCTGTAAGCTGATTGGTATCTATACAGAGCTACATCAGATTTTGCACTCTCCAGTTTTCGTAAATCAACCCCATAATATCTCTTCAACATTAAAATACACATTCCTCCTGTTCACAGCGGCATGTAAACTGAGCTGTGCATGTGTACCTCCATTTACAGCAGCTAGCCTGTTCCCAGTGTGCCAGAATGATGACCTCCTGCACATGCACAACATCATGGTGCCCTGGCCAATGAAGAAAACTGGTGAGGGACAGGACCGTAAAAGGAAAGGAAAGTACAAAAGCTCCCTTTAATTCTTGCTTTAGATGTGGTGGCTACATTCGTTTTCTTTTTAGGCTATTTATCCTTTATTTTCACCTGGTGATTCAGCCGGTATCACTTCCTGTCTAAGATGTCTGCATTCTGGATGAAGTAGTAAAGCAGACACCGTTGAACAGTAGCATTGTCCGTCTGGAGACGGCAGCAGATTTAGATGCTCCAGCTAAAACATTATAAGTAGTTCCAGTCAGAAAGGATGCAACCGGTGGCATCCGTCTCCCAGCACACAGTGAGAGGAACTGAAATTGTTCCTCCCATTGTGTGACGTCACAAATGGAAGTGACATTGATTTAGTCTCTTCCGGTTACTGACCACTCGATCTCACCATAAAAAGTACCTGTCACTGCCTTTTGCTGTCACATGGGACGTTTACATTCCTTGTGACCGCAATAAAAGTGATAAAAAAAAAAAAAAAAAAAAGAAAGAAACCATGTAAAAATTAAAAAAATATTTAAATGTTTTCGCCCCCCCCCCCGTGCTCATGCGCAAAAGGTTAACACAAGCATCGGTCCTGCACAAACAGTGATTGCACCACACATGTGAGGTATCACTGCGAACGTCAAAGAGAGAACAATCAGGCTTCTAAAGCGTTGCCTATGGATAATTTAACCACTTGCCCTCTAGAGGATTTACCCCCCTTCCTGATCAGGCCATTTTTTGCGTTACGGTGTTGCGTTACTTTAACTGACAATTGCACGGTCATGCAACGATGCACTCAAATTAAATTTACGTTCTTTTTTCCCACAAATTGAGCTTTGTTTTGGTGGTATTTGATCGCCTGTGCGGTTTTTATTTTTTGCGCTGAAAAAACAAAAAAAGAAATTTTGAGAAAAAAAAAACAATATTTTTGACTTTTTGCTATTAAACATGTCCAGTAAAAAAATTTCAAAAAAATCAAATTTTATCCTAAATTTAGGCCAAAATGTATTCTGCTACATGTCTTTGCTAAAAAAAAAACCAATACATGTAAATTAATTGGTTTACATGAAGGTTATAGCATTTACAAATGGCAATATACACACTGGTATTTTTAATTTTTTTTAATGTTTACTAGTAATGGCGGCGATCAGCGACTTATAGCGGGACTGCAGCGGACATTCTGACACTGGGGAATTGATATACCCAGTGACACCAATACAGTGATCAGTGCTGAAAAAATAAATAAAAATAAAGCACTGACACTGTACTAATGGCACTGGGCAGGAAGGGGTTAACATGAGGGCGATCAAAGGGTTAACTGTGTGCTGGGTGTGTTTTACTATGAGGCACTGTCTGTGTGTTTCACTGTAAGCACACTGCTTTCCAAAGCAGTGTGCCCAAACTGACAGGGAGGAGAACTGTTAGTAAACAAAACAGTTCTCACTGTCAGAGATCCTTAGTAATCACCGGCCGGGACCCAATGACTGACAGCCAAAGCCACAAATGGCGGCACGCGTTCCCCCTACCTGGACTTGCAAAATCACGTATATATACACATGATTTTGTGCAACTGTGCCGACCTGTAGCAGTATTTCTGCTATAGGGCGGTTGAGAAGCGGTTAAAGCACTGTAGTTTGTTGCCATTCCATGAGCAATTTTTAAGCAAGACATGTTTGGCATGTACTCAGTGTAACATCATCTTTTATATTTTAGAAAAAAAATTGGTATTGTGTTCACTAAAATTCATTAAAGTGTTTTCAAGTGGTTTAAAAAAAGTTTCATTTGAAAAACTCCTGTGCAACTACCGTGTGACATAAAAAATTGTAACACCCATCATTTTGTTCTATAGGGGCTTAAAATATACAATGTTTGGGGGTTTCGGGTAATTTTCTAGCAATAAAATTATAATTTTTGCAATGTTGAAGAGAAAAGTCAGAATTGGCTCGGTAGGCAAGTGATTAAAATAAAAAAGATTTTTAGATGCACCCCCTCTTCTCGAGTCCCCACCAGTGCTCTCCACTCTTTCTTTTGTGGTTGTCCCCTCAAGCAAGCTGCATGGATTGAAGGGACACCTGTACAGACATGCTCCACATCTGGGACGTGCGTCCCCACACAGCGCCCATAGGCCCTATGCCTTCTATATCTTCACAGGTGTTTGACTGACAGCAGCAGGAGCCTACAGCCACCTGTGAGACTGGGGGGGGGGGGGGGGGGGGGGGGGGGGGGGCGGAGTAGAGCTGCAGTCGGGACAGAACTCAATCATGAGAAGAGATAGGTGTTTAGGGATGCGTTGGGGAACAAGTAGTTTGGAGGGTTTTTTTTTTTTTTACCTATGCAGAGAATGCTTTAAGGAGGGGAATAAAAAACCAAACACCTTTTTGACTTTGGAACCACTTTAATTATCCTCTCCTAGTCCAAATGCTGATGTATCGTGTTTGCAGAAAAACATCCATGAATTTTACCACATTTATCTCTTAGCATATGTGAATAATTGCCCACTGAAGTCTATAGATGACAAACACCAGCTTTTTTGAAGCACATTGAGCTTCAATTGAACCAGTACCATAACCTAAGCGCAGAAAGGCAAGCCAAGTGGTTTTTGATCATGTCATCCGTACACTCCCATTAAGTCTAAAAACGGAGCCCTCAGCTGAATTAGAATTAGTCCACACGGTGTCAGGAGGGTAGAGGAGTACCCTAAACGTGTTTTTTTTTTTTGTATTCTAGATTAGAGAAAGCTGGACCCCCAAATATGTACATATTGCCAGAAGGCCAAATCTCACTCCAGAATTGCATAGTGACATGCAGTATGCATGTCTAAACACTTCTCTACAGACTTGAACAGGTGTGCTCATGTGGTTTAGTATGGAGAAATGTTTAGACTTTTAGATGGTTAATAGTGCCTGCTTTCATGCACACTACGTTCTATCACTAGTCTTTTGTGACAGGCAAATGTAAGGTAAAATGACTAGATGTTATAACTTCAGAATGACAAAATTATTTTTGGATAGCAGCAGCACTTTAGTGATTAGTTCCATGTATTACCCCAAGCTGTTCTTTAAAACCCTATGAAGATTTTCTGTGGAATTTTAAAAATCTTTAACCAAGGATACATTTCTGGTATGCCTTGATAATTTTTTTAACTTCTATGCCCAAAGGGTTATTGGTGTATTTAAATCTGCTAATACAGCTAGCTCTCTCCTCCCCCCAGACTGACAATGCTGTTGTCTAAAGGTGCCCCTGTGCTCCTTTATCCAGAATGGGGACAGTCTAAATCAGGGAGTGTGCTACTGGCCAGAACCCCAGGTGATAACAGAGGAAAAAAAATCTTAAAAAAGAAAAAACTATTGCAGTCACCACATCTAATGATTTGTAAGCTGCAATAAATTACATTTTTGGTTTTGGGTTTAGTACTGCTTAAAGGAAGTGTGCCAGTGGTTAGGGTGTTATATCTGTTCAGTAATTGGCAAAAAAACTCTGTTGATCCTGCAAAAAATCTAGTGCAGTCATGAACACTATTTCAGGGTAAATGTAAACAATGTATTTAAAGTGGAACTTTAGTCAGAAAATTAAGTCTTGCTAGATCACACCAGGCTGGCTCCTTTTGCAGGTATAGCAATATAAAACATTACAAATACGTGCCTATACTGGTTAAAATCCAGTAATACATGCCTCACCCTGCTCTACACATTGTCAGTTGCTCTCCATTTTTAGGCACTGAATTTTTAGAGGCCGATTTGCTGACAGTCTAAAGATTAAAGTGGAACTAAACCTATCAAGTTAACAGTTTCAGAAGTTCTCAACCAAAACTGTCAAACCATCAAATGACTGGTGTCATGACTGATCATATGTGCAGCACCATGGCAGTTGCAAATCAAACAGAAGCCGGTTTCCTTGGCTGAAAGAATAGGAGGCTTTAGTTCCGCTTTAACTGCTGTTCAGGGCTCTGGGCTTGAAAAAAATGGCAACCTCCAGCAAGACGAAACAGGGAAAATGATGGAGGCAATTTACAGCACACATTAACTTTGGTTGCTTAATTATTAGTGTGGAATGTATGTTCTTTGCAAAAGAACATTATTTTTTATCAATTGTTTTGAGTAAAGTTCCATTCTTATGTTTACCCATTTTAAATAACCTGAGCGGTGTGAAACAGACTCTATGGAAGAACCTAAGCTGATAACTGTTTTTTGATGAAATGCCTGAAAAGAAGGAGTTGTAAAATTTCTTCCTGTCTTGATCATTGAGATCAGCAATATCTCCCTCTATTAATTTCTAAAGTTTTGGAATCTAGAATCATGCATCAGAATGTAGAGTATTAACTGGAAACAAGTTTCATATGAATATGCAAAAGTAGCATGGTTTCTACCATTGAATTCTGAGGCCCAGCTGTCAAAAATATAATAGGCACAGCAGGAAATAGTTACATAGATAGCCTGGTTGAAAGAAGACACGTCTATCCAGTTCAGAGAGAAAACACACACACACTCACGCACGCACACACACACCAGAGGAAAGCAGAAAAAACCCCAATAAAACATGATCCCACTGTTTTGATCTAGGCTGTATAGCACAGATGTAAGAATCTATTAGGTTTTTGTTCAGCCTGTCTAGAAATGCCTACTCCTCAAAACTGACATCCACCCATCAAAGCAATTTGACATTTGCAGAACTCTTCTCAAGGGCCATCACACAGGTTGCATCAGAATAGAGGACTACTGAGAGGAGTAATGAAGGAAGGAGCTGTGATGTTTTTTAGAAAGCTTTGAACAGCACCCTGCTGGCCCCTCCATTATCCATGATCTGTCTGCATTGCAGAGAGAAGCACAGAGACCCAGTGATGAGATCACTTGGTCAAAAATAAGATATAGAATAAAAACGAAAATCATAATGGAAAGGCAAAATATTGGCAAATTAAAAATTTTAGCTTTAAAATGGAGCCATCATTCCACACGTCATTAATACAAATGTGATGCACTGGAATACTGGAAAGACATGTAGCTCTGCACCCTCCTCCCCCACATGCAGAGTTTGAAAAAATTCTGTACAGAAAGCAAGAATTATAGAAATATCATACTTATTTCTAGCTGACGTTGTATCCGTCCTTTACTGCGCTCCCGAAATTGAATCTGTGTTTCATTGTATTCTATCATAACCTCCCCAAACTTTCTGGACAATACTGTATGCTGGAATAATAAAATACAACAAACAAATGTTTAGTGCTGGACACGAACATGCTGGATAACAAACAGGCAAGTACAGCACACAAGATGTTAAAGAGTCCAGATATACAACGTAAATAAAGCATAAAGGTGGAAATCTAGACAAAGCTGGTTTCCCTTGTTGGATAGTGAGGGGAAAGGCTAGATGTCTTAGAACATTCAGATATAAGACTGTGTAAATTAAAGTTAACACTTTCATACATACTTGCAAGAAAAAAATAATATATATTGTTCTGTCTAGGTATCAGAAATATTTATGAAAATATTTACTGTATTTAGTATCTGTTAATAAGTATGAATCGCCTAAACTTTTTTATTTTTTTAGCATAGAGTAGGGAAGAGTTAAAACCCGTCAGGCGAACTCTAAACCCCTCCATTTCCACTCACTTTATTTCTCAGTGACAAAAGTAACAAATACAAATAAAGGAATGGAGACACACACAGCAATAAAAATGTGATTGTGTCTAATCCTTCCTTACTCTAACCAAAAAAAAAAATGTGTTGTTTGCCAGGGTTATGAGGAAGGTAAAGAGACTATAGGTCTCAGTGTTTACTAAACAAAGACAGTTTTTACAACTTGCCACAAAGCGTGTAAGAAGTGCTGCAAGCTTGTGAAATTTCTACTACCGTATTTGCCGGCGTATAAGACGACTGGGCGTATAAGACGACCCCCCTACTTTTCCTGCTAAAATGTAGTGTTTGGGCTATACTCGCCGTATAAGACTACCCCTCTTCCAGTGCACACCAGTGGGAGGAATAGTGCCCCATCATCGGTGTCAGTGGGAGGAAATAGTGCCCCATCATCGGTGTCAGTGGGAGGAATAGTGCCCCATCATTGCTATCAGTGGGGGGAATAGTGTCCTATCATTAGTATCAGTGGGGGAATGGTGCCCCATCATTGGTGTCAGTAGGAGGAATAGTGTCCCAACATTGGTGTCAGTGGGAGGAATGGTGTCCCATCATTGGTGTCAGTGGGGGGTGGAATAGTGCCCCATCGTTGGTGTCAGTGGGGGGGTGGAATAGTGCCCCATCGTTGGTGTCAGTGGGGGTGGAATAGTGCCCCATCGTTGGTGTCAGTGGGGGGTGGAATAGTGCCCCATCGTTGGTGTCAGTGGGGGGGGAATAGTGCCCCATCGTTGGTGTCAGTGGGGGGGAGGAATAGTGCCCCATCATTGGTGTCAGTGGAGGTGGAATAGTGCCCCATCATTGGTGTCAGTGGGGGGGGGGGGAATAGTGCCCCATCGTTGGTGTCAGTGGGGGGGGGGGAATAGTGCCCCATCGTTGGTGTCAGTGGGGGGGGAGGAATAGTGCCCCATCGTTGGTGTCAGTGGGAGGAATAGTGCCCCATCATAGGTATCAGCGGGAGGAATAGTGCCCCATCATTGGTATCAGTGACACCAATGATGGGGCACTATTCCTCCCACTGACACTTGCTGACTCTGTTCTCGTATGGTGCTGCTGCAGCCAGCATATGTGGTTGCAGCAGCACCTCTACACTGACCACTTACCTGCTGGTCCTGCACTCGATTTTCGCGCGGGGACCGCTCGGCTCCACCCTCTCGCTGGTGATTGGCCGCCTGTGTGCCTTTCCTGAGCTACAGTTCTGGCGGCCAATCGCTGGTGAGGAGGCGGAGCCGAGCAGCCGCGCGAACATCCAGTGGCCGAACTGAAGGCGCAGCCGCGCTTCCTGGACCGGATCGTCGTGGGACCGGAACCAGGTAAGAAATAGCCCCTGCCCACCCCTGTACTTAGTGTCCCTTCCGTTAGGGGAAGGGGGGGGGCGGCGGCGGCACCGCGCCGCGCCGCCCTTCTAAAAAGTGTCATGTCATGTTATATACCGGCGTATAAGACGACCCCCCCGACTTTTGAGAAGATTTTTAAGGGGTAAAAAGTCGTCTTATACGCCGGCAAATACGGTACTTTGAAACAATACACCAATTAAATGTTTGCACAAATACTTGCAGGTAATGAATTGTGCTTGTTTATGCCGTAAAAGGAAATACCAGAGAAATGTTAACACAAAAGTCTGTTTAAAAAAAAATGTCTTTGGAGGACACATCAGTTTAATTTTAATGCATCCTTGAGGATCTATTGGCATCCTAAGAAGTGGCCACAGGCTTCAGATGACAGTTGTACGTGAAGACACAAGGCTCCCAATTAGAACCATGTGGGAAAATAAGCCTTTTGTGTTTACTGTAAAATTAATTTCTTGGAGTTCATTAAGGGACACAGAATTCATAAACAACTGTGGTACACTTCCACCTACATTTGTATTTGGTCAGAAGGGGTATTTACCAACTCATTTTATTCTACCTTATGTGACAGTAGGCAGGTGAAATCACCTGGTTGCGTCCTGGATGGACAATACATTTGTCCAAGGTTCAGACTTTATGGGGATTTGTTCCACTAGAGGGAAGTGCTGAGTCCTTCTGCATGGAGGTAATGAGCCCAGCTGAAGGTAGTGGGCTCATTAAGGCTGCTATAAAACTTCCCAGCTTGCTTAGGGAGTTGCTCCAACCTGGAACCTGATCTATGCCTGAACTGACTGGGGAGCAAACATCTTATCTGTGTGCAGGAAGACAAAAGCCTGTGTGGCTAGCCTCCAACTACTAGCAACTAGGTATAGCACCAGGCTGTACCTAGTGGGTAGCTAGGGAAAGCTGTTGGTACAGTAAGTAGCCAAGTTGGCCAGGATTTAATTTGAGGTTTCTTTTTTGTTTGGCATTTTTTTTGTATATAGTGTAAATAAACTGCACCTTTTTTGTTTTTTCACCTCCACTGTTGTTGTGCTGCGCCTGTCTTTTTGTGTTGTGCACCCATCCAGGGGGTCACACACACCCACTGCCGAGCTAACCCCGTTACTCTTAGGAAGCAAAGAGGCTCTGGATCTCAACATCACATAAGATCAAAAGGGGTTCTTTACAGGACAAGGGTTGGGTTTGCATTTTGATGGTACTTTGGGCCAACTGTTGGCCCAAGCCCGATTGTAAAAAGGTGAGAATTTGTCCCAAAGAGTAATTCCTGGGGGTGAAAAGTTTCATCCTCACACCATGCAAAGTATCGCTCCATGCCCGATAGTTGACCTTGTGAGAAGTAGCTTATGACTGCATGGAAAATGCAGAATCAGAGAGGCCCCTGTCTATTAGAAACCGAGCTTCAACAGCCATGCCATTAAAATCAGCAACCATATAGCAGAGTTGTAATTGGCATCTGCCAGCAGTAATATGACCTTGGAGCACCACACCTGCCTAGGCCAGTTTGGAGCAGAGTATCATTGGCATGCCCTCACATCTTGACCCTGTGGAGTAGACATGGAAGTTTAAAACTCAGAAAGGCATATATCAGGCTGTATGGATCTCAAGGAGGCCAGTTGGTCAATGACCAGAATACCCCCACCTGTGACACAGGTTCTGAAACACTTCAGATGTAAGGACCATTCTACTGAATCCAGAGCTTGCCAGCTGAGGTAGCCTGGCTGTCAGTTTTCTACACCAGGGATGTAAACAGCTGACAAAGCTGTAAAATTAAGTTCTGGCCAAGATAGAAACCTCTCTACATCTTCTGCTGCAGCAAGAGCTCTGGTTCCTCCCTGATGGTTGATGTATGTCACACTACTGTGCCTTTGTCCGTCTGCATCTGGATGAAATGACCCTCAAGATGGGAAGTCCAGCAATCCAGGGACAATCAAATTGCCCAGAGATCTAGAAAGCTGATCGGAAGACAGGATTCCACTCTGCAGTGACAAAGTGTCTAGCAGTCCTACCCAGCCCTCCAGGCTGGCCTTTTTTGTTAGGATCTTGCAGGACATTGAGAGGAATGATTTTCTCTACTCAAAACTTGCATTCTTAGACCACCAAGCCAATTATAATCTGGTCCTCCGTGTGAGGCAAGTCAGTTTGTCCCAAGACTGAATCAACTTATCCTACGATGACAGAATGTTGAGTTGAAGAGCTCTGGAATGGAACTGAACAAAAAGAACTGCTTTGAAAGAGGCTACCAAATGCAGAATTCTCATGCAAAGTTGCAGTGAATCAACACAGACTTTTCAGTCCATATCTGGAAGCGGAGAGTCTGAAGTTGTTTTCTTGGGGAAGAAAGACCCTGGCTTACGCCACATCCAGGACAAGACCAAAATACTCCAAGCGATGAATCAATTCCAACGCAGGCTTCTGAAGTTTCAGGATCCGACCAAACCTTTTAAGGTCTGGACTGTACACATTGTTGGTCAGAAGCTATGTTGAGCTATCCCATAATGGGAATGCTCTAAGGGGGGGGGGGGGGGGGCTCTAGCTTACACACAGCACTTGAATCCTTTTTTTTTTTTTCTACAGTGTGTGGGCCCTAATATAGCAGTACCAAAGAATTTCCTTTCTTCTTTACCTCAGTACATTATCTGTTAGACCTTTGCCCCTTCAATACACAAATACATCTAGCTAACTACACCTTCTTATTAACACATATTGCTTTCCTGTGCAATCCTACTCTGCCTACAAAATATTACAGTTTTAAATGTTCACTAAGTACATTCAACTATTACATGTTGCTATACTTTAAATAGACTCTAAGGGATGTCCTGCAAAATATACAAGCAATAAACACCAGATGGTGACCAGCCATGTATGCATGATAGATCACTGTACAAACACACATGTTTGCTTTGGGTGAAAATGCATATTTTGGCTTATGGAGAATGGAGAAGGGAGCAACTAAGCTCCAGCTTAGAGTAGAAAAATAGAAAACATCAGTGATTGGGCTGGAAAGTCCACTGTCCAATTGCTTTATCTTATGAGAGTGCTCAAAAGCCAGGAGATGTCTGGCATGGCCTATGGCATCTGATCTTAAGTAGCTGGATCAAGGCCACTATCACTTCTGTCTGTTGCCAACTTAAGGCATACATCTATACATCAATGTAATCA